TGGAGGGGGTATATTAACAATATCCTGTTAGAAGGCAGCATGATACGGTTTTATATAATATTCTGTTCGACCAGTGAAATTTGAAGTTTTTCATCAGAGACAGGCTAATGTATGGTCAGTATGAGACATCGGGGTTTTTTTTTGGGGGGGGGGTGTTTTTGTTTGCTTGTTTGGTTTTTTTGGGGGGGGGGTTTGGTTTTTTTTTTTTGGGGGGGGGGGGGGTTGGGGTTTTTTGGGGGTTTTTTTGTTTTTTTTTTTTTTGTTTTTTTTTTTTTTTGGGGGGGGGGGGTTGGGTTTTTTTTTTGTAAATAGAAATCACGAAACAGGTCATAGGAGATCGAAAAAAAGAAATAATTTTCTGGTTTATTCAAAGAAACTAACGAAAGGAACACCAAGGCCTCAGGTCTTCTATAACCGTGATATCTTAGAGTTCGCAAGCAAGAGTTATTTAGCCAGGCAAGTAACTAAAATTTTACAAATCATAGGTACTTTTAATATATAATTGGTTGATTACACCTCAACAGGTATGACATTTACAACTAGGTATCATACAGTATCCGGTAACTACATGACTAATTTACTGATGAAACACAACTCTCATAATGAGATATGTAGGTAACGAACAGTATTCAAGCTCATAGTCCATTTAAACAATGCAGATTAAGAGTAGAGCAAACACGGGCCTCCAAAAACATGGCGGGACCAGGTGCCATGGAGGAGTAAGCATCCCCTGCCGACCGGTCACACCCGCCGTGTGCTCCTTGTCATGATCGGGAAAAATTATATATAAAATCAGTAGAAATTTCAGTGTATAAATAATGGTCTAACATCTAGTATGATAAATGTCAGTCAGGATTTGACCCAATGATAGGTTGTATTTGCTGACAAGGTCATTGTATCGACCATAGAACTTGCGAAATTATGACTTCAAACGAGACTGTTGAAATCCTGGGTAATTCATTTTGATTGTAGGGAATATTAAATAAAAAATATTTAAAATTGATATATGGTTTTGAAGAATTTTTTCCTTAGATGTGTTTGTTTGTTTTTTTGTTGTTTAACATCCCTCTCGAGAATTTTTCACACATATGGAGACGCCACCACTTGCCGGTTTAAGGCTGCAAATTTCGACCAATACTCAGCACTTAGGTCCATTGAGCAATTACGGATATTTTTTGTGCCAGCACCTACTGCGAGAAAAGACCTCGGTTCATAAGGTCTCATCCGAAGGACAGGCCTCCACGTCCCGGTGTTGATTCGAACCGACGACGTAATATATATATATCGACTCCTAAACATCGCGATTCTAGAGCAAACGCTTTCACCACAGCGCCACCCGAGCGACTCTCTTTAGATGTGAATTTAACCAATAAGATCACAATTTTTCTGACATAAGGATTTCATAAACGAACTCACAATAAACAGGGTACATATTGACGAGTTATACTTGTAATAAATGATTCATTCCTGAAGGCAGCTAAACACATCCCAGCATAATAACTTGTAATTAATTAGTTATGCTAAAATGACAGGTTTGTAGTATTCACACTTCCTTGTCATATTTTACTAATGGAATGTTTATGATTAATCACGCAGATTTTCGATATTGCACGGCTGTTCGTGGCTGATTGCTTACAATACTGTCACTGTGCTTTTTGAACTACTTGCTTGCTTGTCTCGTAATTCGACAGTATGATACTGAAAGATCACCAACTGGATTACACCTATCTTATCTCAGAAATGATATTGTCTCTAGACTTCGTTTTGCTTTCTTCCTTATAATATTTCATGCATGATAAACGAATGCTTCAAAAACACTTTGTTGTCCATTATGCGTTTTTATACTTTATATCATCAATTTTGCCACACCTTATATTCACGAGAAATTTGTTTCTGATCTATTATCACGAATGTTTGGTCGCCCGCGTGGCGCAGTGGTAGAGCGTCTGCTCTAGAGTCGCGGAGTAAAGAGTTGATCCTTACATCGCGGGTTCGAATCCCACTGTGGGACGTGGAGACCGGTCCTTTGGATGAGACCGTATAAACAGAGGTCCCGTGTCGCAGTAGGTGCTGGCACGAAAAAGATCCCTCACTGCTCAATGGCCCTGAGTGCCGAGCATAGGTCAAAATTTGCAGCTCTCTACCGGTAAGTGGTGGCGTCTCCATATGAGTGAAAAATTCTCGAGAGGGACGTTAAACAACAAACAAACAAACAAACGAATGTTTGTTGTTTGTTGTTGTATTATCTTAAATGAAAACAAGTCTACGTGAGAATGACATTTTTTGCGAGCAGTCGCTCTTGCGTAATTAACACAAAAATAATGTTTTCACGAATAAAACATGATTTACCGTATTATTATAAAGAGACTTACATGACATGAGTATTTCTGATGGATCATATCCTGTTACACTATATTGAGTAGAGCTATATTTTAGTCCTCATATGTTAGGCTGCCTTTAAATTACTACAGTGACTTTACGTTTTAGTAAAATTTAGGAAAAAAAACTTGAATGGAAAATCTATTAGATTTGTATTTGATTTGTGAAGACTTAAACAGTTTTATTTGCTTGTTTTTTTCATGGTCTTGTGTTATCTTCTGTTCATATCAGAATGGTGTCTCAGCAAGAGTTAAAATTCGTTAGAAATGGTTTCCGAATCTTAATAACTCTAGATTGGGTCTGCAAGGAAATTATGGCGACGCAGGCTCTTTCCTGTTTTGTTAATAGCGATTCTCTGTAACCACTTAAACTTCTTTGCCACGCATGGTCACCGATTTTGATGAAACTTTGCCCATTATTACAACTTGACATCAGAAACATATATCAAATAAAATTTCGTTGCTATGTGTCTTGGTTGCCATGGTAACAGCCAGAAAAGTTGAAAAAATTGAGATTTTCAGCTACTTTGAATCTTTATTAAGCCTTAATAAAGAATAAGAATAACAAACAAACCATTCTCTCCAAAACCTGACACCTTGTTGCCACTTATGCTAAAAAGAAACTATTTAGAATTTATCTCTAAGTAAGAGGTAACCATGGGTACATTTGGAATACATTTTAGATGCTGAAAAATGCAGAAAAAAGCTAAATATTCACTAATGATAGGTGTTAAATGATCAAACTCAATCAACAACCTAAGAAAAAACAATAAAAATATTTGATCTTAAGTAATTAGGTATTGGCAATATTATTCTAAAAATAACTTTCATGGTTGCCATGGTAACACAGTGTTACCATCCAAAATGTGTTGCTAAGATTGGGTTAATGCTACTATCTTCAGGAAAAACAATAAATTTCATGACTGGCACATATATATCCTTAGGACCTTGCAACACCGACAACATAAGAAAAATTGGGATTAATTGTTACTTTGCAGTGTAACCATGGAAACAATGTACCAGTTGTTTAAAGTGATATTTTTTTGCTGCCTTAGGAATTAACTTACCTTTTATTCAAGAAACATATTATTTGACTCACCTTGAATAGTACTTACCTGGTAAAACTAAAGTTGAATATCATATATTGATAACGTTTGTTGAAAAATACAACACTGTTGCTATGGTAACCAAGAAGGGAAAATGTTCGATTTTGTTAATTTTATATCAATATTAAACCCTATGTGCCAGCTTTTTGCATCCAGTTAGAGATTGGGTGGCAGTCAAAATTGAAAGTCAGGTTAGTTGTTCATAATTACCAATCATAAAAGTTTTGGGAATCTACATACAAGGGTACGTATCCAAGGAAACAGAATATTTTTCAGATTTTTATGCATATTTTTTCGGCTTATTTCCATAGCAACGCTCTATTCAAAGAATTGAATTTGCATTTTTTGAAATGTGAGAATTAGGGTCACATGAACATCTTTAAAAATTGATCATTAGTTATATAGAAATATGCTTTTTAAAAAGATAAGATTAGATTTAATCACTAAGAGAGTAAATTTAAAATCCCTTCTTGGTATTAAAACCATAGCAACCATTTCCAACCTATAAGAAATATCATATTTCTTCCATGGTATATGTTACAAGGATCTTTTGTCTATTATTTGCTTGTATTTCAACCTATATTTTTTTTTATTCTTAAGTGTATGATGTTATAAAATTAATTGAGCAAAATTATTACTTTTGAATACTTTGTTTCCATAGTAACGTATGTAATAGTTGATTTACCAAACATGTTTATCATGCATTTAATACATCAGGCCTTCAACTTTCAGAAACAATCATTACCACTTGTTTGCTTTGCTGCAAACGTTAACTGTGGGACTCTGAACATGTTGAAAAATGCCATTTTTCAATCTTTAGGACATGTTGCCATGGTAACCATGTCACGTAGCAACCAATTTCTGCCTGATTTAAGTTTACGGTATCAAAGACTTTTATCATAGAGACTTTGGAGAAATTCTGAGACTATGCGTGCCACAGCTTCTATATAAAAGTTCAAGTCGTTACAGAGAATGGCTCTTTAAAATTCTGTCGCGGCTATTGGTATTGCATCGGAATTGGTAAAGATATATGTAAAGTCTGTACCAGAAGGGTAACAGCTGTTAATATTTGTGTAGTTTATAAAAGGTGCTGAAATCTTATCAACTCTCAGCATATTATGATGACTTGGCAAAATAATTTAGAATCATGTTTTACTAATTACACTAGAAAAGAAAATTTCAACATCAGCTTTTCAATGAATAGCTTTCCAAAGTTAATTAATAGATTATTGTTAGCAAACTTCCGCATTTTTGTTAAAATTTGTTAAAACAACAGTTTAATTTGATGAAAAAGTTTTGAGATCGATAGACCTTGTTTGCTCAAGTCAGCTTTAGACCAATAGTTCACTGTGCACAATGTAATTAAAGACCTGTATAAAAAGCACACCTTCATGTTTGACCTTTCTATGTCAGTACTACTAACTGCTTACAGTGACTGGCTGATAATTTTTTTTCTTTTTTTTAATTTTTGAAATATGCCTACAGGAAATATCAGAGACACTAAAATCTAGTTACCATGGGTAATGTAAGTGTACGGGATGCAAAAGATAACAACAACAGTTCAGAATCTATTGTAACTTCCGATGAGACCACCTCTCCATACCTCCACCTCTCCACCTCACAGAATCTGACTACCACCACACATGTTTACGAAAACATCGTTCCAGTAACTCTTCTGTTCGTTTTTGGAGTTGTTGGTAACGCCATAGCTCTATTTGTTTTGTGCTATTCTGCAAAGAATCACAAATGGCGTCCGTTCTATAGACTGGTGTGTGGACTAGCTATTTCTGATGGCGGGGGAATTCTTGCGTCTTATCCGTTCGCAGAGTACCGCTATGTTTCCAATTTCGAGTACAACTTTCCAAAAGCTCTGTGTGATTACTTGGGCTTTGTTTTCATGTTCACACTAATGTCGTCTGCTATGATCGTCTGTTGCATGTCGTTTGATCGGTTCTTTGCCATATTCTTTCCATTTCTTTACAACACACCGACAAAGGAACGCCGAGTGATGGTTATGCTGGGATGTGTTTGGCTGCTTTCTGGAATCATCAGCTCCCTACATCTGTATGGTTTAGGTGCCAGTAAAAACTACTATCCAGGTTCCTGGTGTTTTCTTGACTTTATTGACTTGTCAACAAATGCTAAAGTGATATACTCCTACATCTATGCGACCACAGGGGCAGTAGTTGTCATTTTGACTATACTTATAAACTTTCTTGTGATAGTCTTCTTCATCAAGAATAAGTTCAAAAAGGCTGTTGCCAAGAGCAATAGGAACGACCTTCCGGTTGTCCTCTTTCTGTTGATGATTGTGACAGTCTTTACTTCCTGTTGGGCTCCGCTTATGGTGAGAAAGATAATGCACTTTCAATTCCATTATTTTAAGTCAATACAAAATGTCTGAAGTGTATCAAACTAAAACGATTGTAGTTTTTTTTTCAGTCCAAAAAAAATTATTCAATGTAATTATAAAATTTACACCAAAGGAAATTTCACCGAATGAAGAGTTTTACAGGGAAAATAGAATGGTTATAATCTAATAAAAATTCAATGACTCCAGAACATAAAAATAATACAGTAATAATACAGTGATAATTTTTTTCTATGCATAATTAATCATTACAAACGGTCTCTAGCTTGCAGGAGAATTCTAGAATATTCTTCATTTTCAGATTGTCTATATTCTTCAAAGTTTCTTGAAGGTCTTGTAATGTCCAAATTAAAATAGTAAACAAAAGCTTAATTTCTGAAAAATGATACTTTGTTAGCAGGCAGACTTATACCGAAGGTAAAAGACATTAGCACAAAATGATTTATGTCATCCATTTTAAAACGAACTTGCGCTTACAAAAAAACAACAACACATTTTTAGTCTACATACCTGTCTTTGAAATCAGTTTCATTTAATTCACTGTATCTTAATGATTATTTTTAGAAAAGCCGTTTTAGTCATATCCTGATGAGCCTTTTCTTGAAATCTTCTTAAAAAACATTCATACTTGCCGTGTGTGACTGTTTTAAATCTATCCTATATCTTTTTCCTATAAATAATTTTTTCTGCTGCAAGATTTTCACAATTCTTTTTTGTATTTACCGGACTGCAAACAAAACAGACATTTTCTTGGTTTGAAAATGGCTAACCATATTGAGTTTCTTTGCTGGAAAATTTAATTATATATATATGTTCCTTGTTCCATATTTGAAACAGTCAATCGGGTCAAGTTAAAAATAATGTTTGTTTGCCCTCTCCCGACTAAGGATTGAAAAAAAAAATGGGTCGGTAGGTAGGTGAGAAATTTTTATCTCAGAAAATTTCAATTTCAATGCTAAATTTCAAAAATCTATTTTCCAGAATACATAAAAAAAAAAATAATTACTTCGTGGAGGTTAAAAAAATCTTGAGTCGGGCTATTTTTAGCCAGTCTGTCGGAAGAGGGCAACCAAACAATTTTTTTAAAGGTGGCCGGTTGAAGTGTTGTTATTTTAAGCATTGCTGAAATGTAGTATTACTTCTATTTTTACAGGTGAATATTTTCCAGCATGCTACTTTTTTTACCAGCGGACAGGGTAAAACAGAGCTGACTTTTCTGCGTATGGGCGTGACAAATTCCGTGATAGACCCATGGATCTACATTTTATTTCGAAAGGAAGTGTTTATCATGTTGATGAATATTATACATCGTTTACTTGGAAGACAGAAGGACACAAAGAACAATGACAGCATTTCAGAAATGAAATCAAAAACAACGGTTGCCTAGTGTTATCAGCAATCAGGCCATGCCAAATAAAAATGTTGAATTAACTGCCGAGATAAACATCAAAAAATCAATTTGTTTCTATTAGTACATCCTATTACCAAATTGTTTTATAGCAATAGCGGTCACTAGTTAGAAAATGGAATAATTTCCTGACAGTAATAGTTTCACACTAATTTACTGTATGATTTACATACCGAGAAATGAATACCGGTATTTCCTCAATGTTAGTATGTCACTGCTAAATAGAAATAGTATTTCATGTTGTGTTTTTTATGCTAGACATCGCAAATGTCCTCATTTGTAGCATTAAATCATTTAATGATTAAAAAAAAAGCAAGTGAAATATGTGAACCTGAAGTACAGATCAATGGTAAGTGGCTACACTAAAGACCAAAATCATAATTTGTTATCTTAACATGCACTGAACTAAGAAGCCAACTGTATAAATCACTGGATTAACCACCACCACTACCCCACCACCCCCCAAAAAAACAACCCATGAAATAAAAAAAACGAACATCACAGTTCATTCCATGAAGATGTATTTAACGCAATGCACAAAATAATAAATCAACCATGCAAGGTTATGAATTAGGGACTGAAAATATCTTTCAGGCTCAGAGGTGCAGATAAATGTACTCTATTACGGACGTGTCTAGGACAATGGACAGTTATAACCCTGGACACAGCAGACTTGAGACAAGATACCAAGTAACAGTAAGCATTCCCTGTCTACCATTCATCCCAACCGTGAGCCTCGGGAATCCACAGGCAGGTTAGTTTTAAAGCAATGGCCTGGCAATTAATATAAAACATGCACGTCAAAATTCGACCCAACAATAGGTCGTTTTGCAAACAAAATCATTATAAGGCCCTTTGAATTTTCGAAATGCTAAATGAAACTGTTGGAAACCCTGTAGCTTCAGGATAGCCTGCCCTGGTTGAAAATCTGATTGTACACAGAACATGTCTTGTGTACTAAATCACATTGGATACATGGAGGAATTTTGCTACATAAAAAGGGAAGTTTGCGATGGAAAAGCTGAAGTCAACCCGTTTGTCATATAGATTGCTTGTTTTTGCCGTTAATGTCTATATTCAGTAAGACATCCAAAATATGAAGCATATATAGCCGACCTTTTGGTGTCTTTTATATTTAGTTGACTAGGATATCTCGATTTTACATATGAATTAAAATTAATATTGTAAATTAATAAAACGTCATCGATATACAAAAACAGATCAACTAACACAGGAGTACGAGTTTTGGCCTTAGGAATTTCAACTGACTGTATATAGTTCTGGTCTCAGAAGACTACATCAAATGTTCAATGAAATAATGTAATAATCATTTTTTAACGTTGAAAGTGATCCATTGGTCTCAATAATTATAACATATTTACTTTTTGTAAATACGTATGTGGAAAACTATCAAGGAACTGAATCTTTGGGTACGTGCAAAGTCCATATGATTTTATCGAAAACATAGTATGCTATGATTTGTTGTTTTAAACATACATTTTTTTACCTATCATGATTTTAATTAGCAAACTGTTAAATTTTCTAAAAGAATACAAATATATTTTGCAATGTGATATGACTGAAAAGACATGAGAGGATATTTCACCTAATGGGTCTAAAGACCATTATGACAGCACCCTGATATATTGTAATCTTATATTATACTAGACGGACAATTTAACTTCAATAAATTGCAGGATTGTAAAGAAATGGACGGACAAGTTTATATATATTAAACCATGCCTTTGCCCTAAAATGATTTTTACAAAATGGTCATTATACCCTTTTACTTTAGATAAGTCAGAACAAATATCATCTAATCAAACAAAGTGGAAAATGTCATTAAATTCAAGAGACTTTTGCTTGAATAGGTAAATCATTACATTAGGGTTAGAATTCAATCGTGTTGATATCAAATTTGTTGAAATACGATAATTTGATTTAAAAATCACCATTACAGCTGAAATCTAATCGTCCATTTCTCAGACAATGTCAGTAAATCAGTATAAAAGGTATCAATATAATTACTGTCAGATAGATGCTTTAGCTGTAGCACAGATGAAACAAGGATGACAACAAAGATCCGAGAGATCTCTTCAGAGAGAAATTGCAGCAATTACGACAATGCATAGGAATTACGACAATGATACTAATTACGACAATGTCTCTGACATTATTTCTTCCTCAAATGTAACCACCATATCACCGCTCAGTTTAACTAACACACAGAATCTGACGACCACCACTCGTGTGTACGAACACATCGCTCCAGTAACACTTCTGTTCTTTTTTGGAGTTGTTGGTAACGCCATAGCTCTATTTGTTTTGTGCTATTCTGCAAGGAGTCACAAATGGCGTCCGTTCTATAGACTGGTATGTGGACTAGCTATTTCTGATGGCGGGGGAATTCTGGCATCTTATCCGTTCGCAGAGTACCGCTATATCTCCAATTTCGAGTACACCTTTCCAAAAGCTTTGTGTGATTACTTGGGCTTTGTTTTCATGTTCACACTAATGTCGTCTGCTATGATCGTCTGTTGCATGTCGTTTGACCGTTTCTATGCCATATTCTTTCCATTTCTTTATAATACTCCGTCAAAACAACGTCGAGCTTTGATCATGCTAGCGTGTGCCTGGACTTTATCGGGAGTCATCAGCTCCCTACATCTGTATGGTTTAGGTGCCAGTAAAAACTACTATCCGGGTTCCTGGTGTTTCCTTGATTTTATTGACATGTCATCAAATGCCAAAGTGATATACTCCTACATCTATGCCACTACTGGGGCGGTGGTCGTCATCTTGACTATGCTTATAAACGTGTTAGTTATTGTTTTCTTCATAAAGAATAAATTCAGTAAGACTGTTGCTAAGACCAACAGGAACGACCTTCCGGTTGTCCTCTTTCTGTTGATGATAGTGACGGTTTTTACATCCTGTTGGGCGCCTCTTGTGGTAAGAATTAATTTTTTTTTTTAATTTTCTCATACCAAAATAAATCTATTGATTTATTGTATGTTGTTTTACGTCCCATTCGAGAATTTTTCACTCTCATGTAGACGTCACCATATACCGGTGCAGGGATGGAGTAATGGTAATGTGTAATGGTAATTGACAGTAGTTAATTACAAATTTTGATGTAATTGAAAGTATTGTGTAATTGGCCAAATTTTCGATTACAGGTAATTGTAATTTAATTAATTACTTAATACATGAGAAAATGATGTAATTCACAATTTTTTTTTTAATTTTATTTTTTTTTTCATCTTAATACAAACATATTGTATTACTAAATTCATTTCTTTTTTACACACCATTCGCTCTCACTTTCTCACTCATACATATTCATTTTGGTATGTGGAAGCATACTTGTTCTTGTATTTTAACAGAATGATAGAAAGAAAAAATACATCAACAGATCGATATAAGGACACAAAAAAAAGAAGGAAAGAAAAAGTCTTACATATTGTAACAGATTATGACTTATTAACATTGTCAAATAAACATTTCCAATTTTTCTAGGTATTATTAAACTTTTGCATTTAAAATTCTGGCTTGCAATACATTTTTCAACCCTATATTTATTGTATAAGTGAAAGAGAAGTTCCAGGAAGTTTGGCAGTTTGCCTTTTTTTAGACAAGAAAAATATATTGTTTTATATACATGATCAGAAAATTTACAACTCTATTACCTTTAGACAACGGAAGTTCGCCTAATAAAATGTTAATTACATTAAAACCAATTCTTTTTGAAGTTATTTGATACATATGCATGCTAAGATCACTCCATAGTGAGGATACCTTTTCACAATTAATGAAAATATGTTGAATTGTCTCAACTCGATGTTTACAAAAAGAACAGCTATCAGATGATACAGCATTGATTTTTTTTCAAGTAATAATTAACAGGTAAAATTCTATGGAGAATTCTATATTGTATCCATTGGGTTGAAGAGTCTTTGGTAGTCTTAAAACAAACATTAAAAACATCTTGAACACAAACCTCTACACCATAATGGCTGAGCTCTAAATTCCATTTCCGTACAGAAGTAGGAATAATAATATTTGCATTTAACTGTTTGTATATAGTTTTAGTACATCTATTTTGCAAAAAAAGATTGATAATACAATGGAATATATGGAGTAGAAGATCTTTTAAATAAACCTTTGTTTACAAAAGATTTCATATATTTTGATATTGCACTCATTACACTGTTATATTGCATGATGGATACTTGAATACCAAATTTTTGCTGAAAAATGGCATGTGGTAGAAAATTTCCTTCCTCATCTAAAAAATCATCAATCAGTTTCACACCCTTTTCATACCAACTTTTTATAAACAGTGTTTTTGTACCAACCCTAATATTTGTATTGTACCACACTGGGATGCTAGGAAAAATTTTCCATGTAGAATTTACTATAACAAAAGATTTAATAACATGAAGCATAGACTTAAAAACATCTTGCCAAAAACAGTTGTTTTGGGGGATTACACATTCAGAGATAAATGCATCACCAAAATCAAGTAATTTATGAACAAAATCTGTACCATTTATAGCTTCAAAAATATCTACCCAAGGTTTATTACCTGCTATTAGCCTTTTCAGCCAAGAACATTTCAAAGACATAATAAAATTGCTAATTTCCACCATTTTTAATCCCCCATGCTGATAATCTTGAATTAAAGCAGTACGTTTAATTTTATCACATTTTGCATTCCAAATAAATTCAAAAATATCTTTGCATAATGATGAGATTATCTCCCCTTCTGGAGTAGGGAGTGATATGAACAAATGATTAATTTTTGGAATAATTAAAGATTTTACCACAGTAACTCGACCAATTGGTGTTAGGATTCTTCTTTTCCAATGTTGTAGCATGCTTTTTATTTTTGGAATCTGTATGCCATAATTTAAATTTGTAATTTTTTGTAGGTCATCTGAAAAGTTAATACCTAATAGGTTAAAAGTTGTGGAGCCCCAGTCGAGTTTCCATCTAGAATGATGAAAGACCTGAATTGAAAACTTTTTTGAGCCTATCCATATTATTTTTGTTTTAGAGTTGTTTCCTTTTAAACCAGATATCTAAGGTATCCAAGGCAGCAAACAAAGATTTAGGCGAACCATCAAGAGCAAGATGTATCATCAACGTACTGACTTATTTTATGTTCCTTGTCACTTATCATGATACCCTTTATATTTTTATTTTGCTAAATTAAGATTGCAATAATTTCAGCACAAAGAAGAAACAAATATGGTGCGACAGGGTCCCCTTGTCTACATCCTCTCTCAATGTCAATCTGATCAGATAAAAAACCCACTTTGTAACACTGAAGCCTTAAATTTTGTGTTCAGAATCTTAATCCATTCAATTATGTATTCACCAAAGCCAAAAAATTTGTAATTCACAATAACTTTTCAATTACATTCAATTACACTGGTATATAATGAATGAAAAATCAATACCTTCCCCCTCCCCAACCCACTATACACTATTCAAGAAAGCATAACTGATCTTTAGGGAAAAATATTTTGATGGTCAATATCTTACAGAAATATTCATATTTCCTCCTTTTAGTGAATTGCTGTTTTATCTCATGCACTTTTTAAAGGTTCTTTCAAAATATTCTCTCTGTGTTTCATATACAAATAAACTTAATAGTTTTGACTAGTTTTTTTATGAATACATACCAGAAAGCTTTTAAAAATGACATCAAATTTTGTAACACATTTGAATTGTGGTAAAAACATGGGTAAACATAGTATTCTTGCTAGTTAGTATATATCTATCCCTGTCACATATGCTCTAGTGGAAAGTATCTTTACTGCGGAGGAAAAACCTTTCAAATCTGATAAATATAGGTTAAGTGGGGATACTATATTTGAGAAGTTAGCTGGAGACAATTTATTTGAGAAAATTTCATGAACATCTAAAGAATGTAAATGTAGAGAAAAAAATGCTGTAACTGAATCTGATATGACTATAAAGAAATGTTCATGACTATTTATTTATAATAAGTTCATAAAATTTAATTTGTAATTTAATTAATTACATTTCAAAATCCTTGTAATGGTAATGGTAATTCAATTGAAGGTTTTGGGCAAGTAATAGTAATTTAATTAATTGCTTTCCTATGTAATTGACCCCATCCCTGTACCGGTGAAGGGCTGCAAAATTAGACCTATACTCGGCACTCTTGGCGAAGGAACAGTCAATACCTGTTTTTGTCTTAGGTTTGAAGCGGCGCGCGAACGAGTATCGAACTCCTGCCATCCTGATCACGAATCCCTACCACTAGGCTACCGTGACCGGTTATAAATCAAATGTTCCGCTGTTAAGTGCTTTTCTCTATTTATGACACGGCTTAAATCAGCTTTTTACTGTGAACTATTCATGAAATGGAAAAAAATTAATAACTGTCTTTTTATGAATAGGAGGAAACGGGGTCAATTGGTATATTTGAGAATATAGGAATTTAATAATTATGTAAGCGCTGTAAGAATTAAACAGCCCCAGTCGACTTATAAAGAATTTCACCCCAAATAATTGATAGATGTAAATTCTTTTTTAAACATTTTTTATTTATAAATACATTATTTATTGACAATAAAATTATATTTTCTGAGTATCCTATGTATTTTCAATGTATATATATATATATATATATATATATATATATATATATATATATATATATATATATATATATATATATATATATATATATATATATATATATATATATATATATATATATATATATCTTTTATATATATATTCCGTGCAATCCTCGACTTCTACACATCAAACACTATTATTCATGCAAGAAATCTATTCTGCAACCGACTTTTATTGCAGTTTAACATGTGACTGAGAAACTAAGTAACTCCAAGAAACACCCTCTAAGTCTTTATCCACGTTTCTAGTCTTTGTGAAGATTACTTTGTTAATTGAACTTATAAACAGATTTCATGTGATGTTCACTTTATGTGTTAATAATTTAATATAGGGCATTTGTCATATATGTACTTAAAACCATAATTTGTTTAACAGGTAAACATATTCCAGCACGCTACGTTCTCTATAGTTGGACAAGGTAGAACCGAGTTGATTGTTCTGCGCATGGGTGTGACTAACTCTGTAATAGATCCATGGATCTACATCCTGTTCCGGAAGGAAGCATTTGGTATGCTAATGAAATGTGTAAATAATCTTGTGGATCGTAACAGGGATTCACACAACAAGAGTAACGTACCAAAAGTAGCATCAAAAATAACAATTGTTTAGTATTTGTTGGCTACTGGTACTTTGAATACAAGGTATAATAAACGGAATCCTTAAACTGGTTTAGAACTATTTAATTGGTTGTTTATACCATTGCCTTTCCTAAAGCAGAGCTCTAATTATTTTATTTAATCATTTACGTTTTTCATGTAAAGTTTTATTTTTATCTTTCTCGTGTTTTTACAACTAGTATATTATATGGACAATTTTCTGACATATTAATCAGCATCGACATTAGTATCAGCAATGAATAGTACTTAGGGAATTTGATAGCTTTAGACCATTAATTTGATTGTTTTAAAACTGTTGAGATATAAATGTGACTTTTTGTAATAAATCGTGTTATTATTTGTATTCAAAATGTAAGTATTAGGTATTTTCCTATAGTTTATGTTGTTCCTTTTACGCAGGCACTTATGATGAATAAATTTGTGTCACGCGAGCATTTTCTTCATGTTTTGAAACAGGAGCGTATACATTACTTTTGAGAATGTTAATTCTCTCAAGAGGGTTCTGAGTTAAACTAATTGAAATTTCAGTGGGTTGGGGAAGGTAGTTCGTTCATGTGGATTTCGAGTGTTCTGAGCACGCTCTTCTTCCTACGGTTTTTTTTAAGGAAGCTCTAAACACTGCACACTAAAGAGTTCTTTTTGTAAAGTAGTTTTATTGAGTTAGAGTGATCCGTCCTTAGAAGAAAAATAGAATAAATGGGAATCTACAGTTAATGACACAATTTCTTATGGATTAAAGTATTCTTAATGTTACATGTATGTTAGACCAAGATTAAGTAATTGAATACATTATTTCCATTAATTTTTCCGATGCAAGTAAACAACAGTGATTTCTGTTCATGAATAGTCCATTGTCTTTGAACATTTTTTCTGCAGAAATAAGGCAGGCACCATATGTTGAAAATGAACTAGATACACTGAATATGTGCACCTTTATATGATATATTTTTCTCAAAGTCCAAAAAGCATTTGTCATTAGTGTTTAGAGCTTCCTTAAATTTATTTTGAGGAGGTGTGTTCTTATTTCTGTAACAACATGCATTTTTATACAAGAAAAACACAGCTATGACAAAAGAAAAAAGAAATTCGTAAATATTACATAAAGAATTTCTGTAAAAAATGCGGAAGGTGGAGATAATGAACAATGGTCCATCTCAACCCACCCACCCCACCCCACCCCCTCCGAAAAAAACAATGCAAATTTGTGAACAAGGCATACAGCACGAACCTCTGGGAACTTCAGAGGTGGAATCAGGTTCCTCGTTGGAGTTAGCATCCTCTGTCCACCTGTCACCTGCCTTGAGCTTTCTGTGTTGACTAGGGGAACAGCTTAATAAGTAGTCAAACAATAGGTGTAACATGTCAGCCAAAATACGACCCAATAAAAGGCTGTATTAACAAACAATAGGTGTAACATGTCAGCCAAAATACGACCAAATAAAAGGCTGTATTAACAAACAATAGGTGTAACATGTCAGCCAAAATACGACCCAATAAAAGGCTGTATTAACAAACAATAGGTGTAACATGTCAGCCAAAATACGACCCAATAAAAGGTTGTATTAACAAACAATAGGTGTAACATGTCAGCCAAAATACGACCCAATAAAAGGTTGTATTAACAAACAATAGGTGTAACATGACAGACAAAATACGACCCAATAAAGGTTGTATTAACAAACAATAGGTGTAACATGCCAGCCAAAATACGGCCCAATAAAAGGCTGTATTAACAAACAATAGGTGTAACATGTCAGCCAAAATACGACCCAATAAAAGGCTGTATTATCAAACAATAGGTGTAACATGCCAGCCAAAATACGACCCAATAAAAGGTTGTATTAACAAACAATAGGTGTAACATGTCAACCAAAATACGACCCAATAAAAGGTTGTATTAACAAACAATAGGTGTAACATGACAGCCAAAATATGACCCAATAAAAGGCTGTATTAACAAACAATAGGTGTAACATGTCAGCCAAAATACGACCCAATAAAAGGTTGTATTAACAAACAATAGGTGTATCATGACAGCCAAAATACGACCCAATTAAAGGTTGTATTAGCAAACAATAGGTGTAACATGTCAGACAAAAAAACGACCAAATAAAAGGTTGTATTAACAAACAATAGGTGTATCATGACAGCCAAAATACGACCCAATAAAAGGCTATATTAACAAACAATAGGTGTAACATGTCAGCCAAAATACGACCCAATAAAAGGCTGTATTAACAAACGATAGGTGTAACATGTCAGCCAAAATACGACCCAATAAAAGGTTGTATTAACAAACAATAGGTGTAACATGTCAGCCAAAATACGACCCAATAAAAGGCTGTATTAACAAACAATAGGTGTAACATGTCAGCCAAAATACGACCAAATAAAAGGCTGTATTAACAAACAATAGGTGTAACATGTCAGCCAAAATACGACCCAATAAAAGGCTGTATTAACAAACAATAGGTGTAACATGTCAGCCAAAATACGACCCAATAAAAGGTTGTATTAACAAACAATAGGTGTAACATGTCAGCCAAAATACGACCCAATAAAAGGTTGTATTAACAAACAATAGGTGTAACATGACAGACAAAATACGACCCAATAAAGGTTGTATTAACAAACAATAGGTGTAACATGCCAGCCAAAATACGGCCCAATAAAAGGCTGTATTAACAAACAATAGGTGTAACATGTCAGCCAAAATACGACCCAATAAAAGGCTGTATTATCAAACAATAGGTGTAACATGCCAGCCAAAATACGACCCAATAAAAGGTTGTATTAACAAACAATAGGTGTAACATGTCAGCCAAAATACGACCCAATAAAAGGTTGTATTAACAAACAATAGGTGTAACATGACAGACAAAATACGACCCAATAAAGGTTGTATTAACAAACAATAGGTGTAACATGCCAGCCAAAATACGGCCCAATAAAAGGCTGTATTAACAAACAATAGGTGTAACATGTCAGCCAAAATACGACCCAATAAAAGGCTGTATTATCAAACAATAGGTGTAACATGCCAGCCAAAATACGACCCAATAAAAGGTTGTATTAACAAACAATAGGTGTAACATGTCAACCAAAATACGACCCAATAAAAGGTTGTATTAACAAACAATAGGTGTAACATGACAGCCAAAATATGACCCAATAAAAGGCTGTATTAACAAACAATAGGTGTAACATGTCAGCCAAAATACGACCCAATAAAAGGTTGTATTAACAAACAATAGGTGTATCATGACAGCCAAAATACGACCCAATTAAAGGTTGTATTAGCAAACAATAGGTGTAACATGTCAGACAAAAAAACGACCAAATAAAAGGTTGTATTAACAAACAATAGGTGTATCATGACAGCCAAAATACGACCCAATAAAAGGCTATATTAACAAACAATAGGTGTAACATGTCAGCCAAAATACGACCCAATAAAAGGCTGTATTAACAAACGATAGGTGTAACATGTCAGCCAAAATACGACCCAATAAAAGGTTGTATTAACAAACAATAGGTGTAACATGTCAGCCAAAATACGACCCAATAAAAGGTTGTATTAACAAACAATAGGTGTAACATGTCAGCCAAAATACGACCCAATAAAAGGCCGTATTAACAAACAATAGGCATGTAACATGTCTGACAAAATACGACCGAATAAAAGGTTGTATGAATAAACAATGAAGTTGTAACGACCATAAAATTTCCATGTGCTAACTTTGAACGATTTTTTTTCATTCCTGTAACATCAACTTTTTTTGTCAGTAGCCTGTCTGTTTTAAAAATTGATCGTACTCAGAGCATGCTCTTGCTTGTCTATTAGGTTGGGAGACGTAAACAATACATTCAAGTGATAGTTTAATACTATCAAAATAAGGAAAGTTGACGATGGAAAATTGAAATCTCGTTTGTCATACAGTTTAGTTGGTCATTATCCTCTACAGACAGTAAATCATCCAAACATATCTTTTTACTACTGAGAAATACTTTTAATTATCCAAACGTTGCTTTACTCTGAAAATGAGGAAAATAACTCCTAAAGTTAATAGCACTTAAGTTCTTCAAGATAAGCATGTAAAGAGGGATTATATTTTTCTACTTACAATTCATTATATATTGTTTTGCTACCAGACTGGTAAATGTTCAAAGCTTTGCAATCAGTCTGATTGAAACTGTATTATCCAGAAACGATTTTCTCAGGAGAAATTTTAAGTGTTATATAACAATTGTTTCTAAGCTTTAAATTTGACTACTGAAAAGGGGCACAAACAATAGATGAAATACTGTCTCTTTAGTTTTGTTTCAGATAGTGTTCATTTCATAAGTTTGCTTTAAAAAATGATACAGGAGCTTACTGAAGCTTAAAGTAAAAACATTCAAGCTTTATATCATCTGTTACTTTATAAGAAAAAGAGAAAGAGTTTTTTACCATTTTTTTCAGAATATATAAAAATATTTTTCCTCAAATTTTCTTTTAATCATTGAAAGGGAATCTTACCTGCCGACAAGCTTTTTCCAAACGTATTTAATAACTTTCATATATTTATAAAGTGCCAAGACATGTTTATTACAAAAATATCTAGTAAGTTTTAGATTTTCTTTTGAAGTACCAAGTTAAAGTTATTGCAAAAATAATGAGTAACATAACTTTCACATTTTTTGAGGTACTAAGATACATTTATTTCTAATTAAATTCCATTTTTGTTGACGTTTCTAGTGTTTAGGAACTATGAAAAGTAATCCACTATATTCCACAAAATTTGCGTTTAACCCATTAAAAGTTTGAGGAGTTTGAGGTCCTTTTTACGAACTGATACAGGTACTTCAATACCTTTTCAATGTGTAATAAAAGTTTATCTTTGGGCCTTAACTCAAGATAAAACGGCAGATATTCCAAATAAGTCGACAAGGCTTATCGCTCGTTACACATGTGAAAACAATGTATAACGATGTATAATGATGTTTGTCTGATAGGCTTTAGAGGTGAGGACGAGAATTTTAAACATTTATTGGCTTTTCAATTTACAGTTCTTACCCAGAGATCCTTTTCTTATCCTTGTATTTAATTTGAGTTTAAGACTTCTTTGTTTTTTGAAGCAGTGTTTGCTGTTCACTACTCTAAAGGCAAGCATCAGAAATTAGTTGTGCATAACTTATTTTTATATGTACATGTCTTTAAGAACTTTTGGGAAATCTCCCTTGTATATTTCGGGGTTCAATAATTCCTATTGTAAACTTAGATGAAACGTTATGCAGAAAAGGATTTATTTTTCAGAAATGTCTTTATAAACAATATTTTGTTTGAAATGATCTGCTTCTCATTTTTTGGAAATTTTCAATGGCTTGGCCAACCCTTCAAAGAGCTGAGAATCGCAAAAGTCAAAAGGTATAATTCAAAGATGTAGCGTTAGTAGCACACATTGCACCTAATACATTATTCATGTGTCTGCCAATTTGTTTGGATCCCTTCGAGGTTAGCAAAACTGGAATGTGACAATTTTACAAATAACCCCTTAAATTTAAAAAAAAAAATATTGTTTTTGTCTAGAGTACAATCAGTTAAACCCCATAATATCAAAATACATGCATCTTCTATTTTTCTTTTCAGTTTATTTCATCAATTTTACTTGTACAACAGTTTTACAATACAGTACATTTTAGGGGGAGGATGTCAAATGGGGTCATTCATCCTCTCTGTACACAATGTTATCGTTCATAACTCACAACCGGACTGAAATAAAGGGTTTTTATCTAACGTCATACTGTCTCACAAACTCAGGGTGGGGTTTCCCTAATGTGTCCATCATTCGGCATCTCCTCATTTCTTCCGGAGCTCCTCTATCTTTTCTACTAGTTTGGCTTTGTTAGCGCCTGACATTTCATCGATCTAAAAATAAATACATAAGAGTATATTACATGAAAATGCAACATATTGCATTGATTGCTTTAAGAATTGTTGTGAATAATTTTAATGTACTTACTGCGGTTTCAATTTTACCTCTGTTTCATTAGAAGTAACATTTCGCGTCGATTGCCTTAGGCATTCTTGAAAAGACTTTATGTGTTGATTACCCTTTCTATCAAACCTTAATTAACCAGTTAACCTTTTAGTTTTACCTTTTCTCGGTCCTTAAAGAACATGATGGTAGGCATACACTCTATTCCCACTTCCTCAGCAAGTTCCTATTAATTAACATTAGATCTTCTAGAACATTTTATAGATTTATAACTGACAAATGTATTACGAGATCAGAAAATGAAACTGTTAAAACAATTAGATAACAATAAACAATAGTATAAATTATGAAAATAACGAACAGTAATCAAGCTCAAGAGTCCGTTAAAACAATACAAATTGGGAGAAGAGCAAACACGGACCTCTCAAAACATCAGATCAGGGATCAGGTGTCATAAGGAAGTAAGCATCTACTGTCGACCGGTCACAACTGTGGACAATTCAGTGTGAAAATAATGGCTCAGCAATTTGTATGAAAAACGTCAGTCAAAATTCGATACATTCTATATGCTAACAAGGTCGTTGTATCGGCCATAGAATTTGCAAAATGTTGACTTTAAACGAGACTATTGATATCCTTGCATCAACTTATTTGTCAATAGCTTTCCGCGTTTCTGAAATTGTTTGTACGTAAAACATGATATAATTTCCGTAATTGCTACACATACTTATCTTTTTAAAAGATAGATGAGCAAGCGCTGTAGCCATCATAAAACAAAGAAGTCGATATCTGAACCATTGTTTTAATTTGCAGAGTCGATTGGTTATTAATAGGAAGACACAGTAGTGCAATGGGGGAGGTATTGGGGACGGGGGGATCTCAATTCAGAATGGAGTGGGCTTCTCGTTGGTAATGGCAGAACTCATTAACTGTGCTCTAAGCATTCTGTAGTTTACTGTAATTTCAATTTGAGGTAAAAATACAATTATTTAGTACCTAGTTTATAATATCCCAGTGTGGTAGTGTTTTGTAGCAATCACATCTTCTTGGACCTTTCCGACCTGCTCGGAAAACATATCCGAGATTATTTTTCCGAGCTTCCTGGAAAGATCCGGGAAGATGGTTAAGAAAAGCAAGGTTTTTATTATAATTTTAGAAAAAAAAACTGATGCATTGTTGAATTGAACACGTTTATCATAATTTAATCATATACGTATATATGTGTTTAAGAATCTGTTTACTTACCGTATAATATACTATAAAAAGTAAACAGATTCTTACACACACGTATATAGAGTTTTGTGTTATTGTCTCTGCTATTTCTTATTATTTTAAAAAAAAATGATCTGGAATACATGTACTTGTTCACAATTTTAACCTTTGAGTACACCCATATCAATCGCTAACATCCTTACTTTTAACACTAACCCAATCATGGCAGATTGATGATTTCTAACTTAATAATATATTCCTTTTTGGGGGAAGGGAGGTTTTTGTAGATTTTGTTTGTATATCACTCCCTTTCCGTCTACACACACACACACCCTCGCACACACCCACACACACACACACACCCTTGCACAAACCCACACACACCCACACACACACCCTTGCACACACCCACACACACCCACATTAATACATCGTTCATATATAATGGATATCATCTATCGTTTCAAAATTCTGACCATTCTACGGTCTTTTAGCTTGCTGTTAGAACTTTTTTCCAACACATTCTGCTTCTAAAAAAAACATAATATATTGTGTTATCTGACGGTAACCCGTAAGATGGTGTAAAGGAAGTTATTATAATAGTTATGTTTCATAATATTTCTAGCAGAACTCTTTGACGACCCCTGATACAATAAACCATACAGCCAATATGTTGGTTCATCCTTGCAGAAATTCCTCGGGGAAGATAGCATAACTTCCAACGGATTGTTTTACAAATTACAGCAAACCCTTCCTCTGGGAAAATATGCTATATATGCATCGTTTTCCACTAGGGATGATTGCTTCATTGCAAATATTTCCCTCTTAAAAGCAACACCCACCCATCCCACCCCCAAATGATTACGATATATAGTAGACACCCCTCATTTATCTTGAAAAACTATCAGTGGGTAATGTACGTTGTAAGGTACATGTACATGCGTATGACCTTAATATTCTATTGTAAGATCAAATTTCACTGAGCTATTTCTATTTAATTCATGCTTGCAGTATTTTATTTGTGCAGAAAAGATACTATACCTTGTTTAATGTGATACATAGTGAAGAATAATAAGATGGAAATACCAAGTATAATGCATTTTAAACAATGAAAACGGTATAAAGAAAAAAATGAGAATAAAAATCTTATCAAATTGCGATAGAACGTGGAATGGCAATCCCCTTCCCTTCTCTAATTACATGCGTAAAATTAGAACCGATAACTTAAAAGCGGAAGTCTATACTTACATTAGCTTCATCTACATCCACAGAAGCAAATATTACATCCTTTTCATACTCAGGATCATTCGCCAGTTTCTGTAAAAGAAAGCAAAGGTTTCATTTTCTTATTCATTGACATTGAACTTTTTCAACCTGATACTGTATTCATTATTAGCCAACGTATTATTTGTTCAAACTTTGCCACTTTCTTTATTTGATTTAACTGGCATATTTTAATAAAGGTTCTCGTATGTATAGTTTAAATATTTGCTTTTCCGTAAAGAAACCATATATTTTCTCCCAAACCACATACTTAGTTGAACTAAATAGATTAAATTGTTCTAAAACTGTATAAAATTCTATGACTGGGCATGCAGGAAAATACAAAAAATAATGCAATGAATTTTTTTTGTAACCCGAATAATTAAGCTAAGGTTTTATATTAAGTCATTTTTTTTCTTCCGCAAAAAATGCTGCAATATTCAACTGTTTAGTACTTATAATTCATTTGAATAATCATGTAAATATATTTATACATGTATAATGATTTAACAATTTTCATGCTTTGCACTGAGTTTTATTTGACAGAATATAAATAACTTCGACTTGATTAAGATACTATAGTAAATTCCTTTGATATCAGAAATGTTCCAGTTGTGGCGTAGAGTTAAAAATATATTGAGAAGCCATCAAACATGACAATCTGTTCCCCCGATTTTCTTAGCATCTGTAGAAACAAGTATTACTTTAAACATGGGTCCTATGACTTTACACGGCCCACACCACGTGGCCCAGAAGTCGATAATGACCAGTTTCTGTCCAGCTTTACGCAACAGCTCCTCAAGTTCATCCTGTGACGTAAACGATTAAAATATCTTTAGTTTTAGGACGCATACTAGCACATTATTTTTTTCAATTAAAATAACTCTTATCTCACATAATTAACCTTGTTTGCAATCTCCATTGCAGTTGTAGCATCGTTGCTTTTGTTCAAACTATCATTATTCATTGCTTAACTAAGTATTATCAAATAAATGCACAGCTGTTTGTTGCATACTTGTTTTTAAAGTTGAATTTATACGTTTGCTGCTGGTTTAAATAAATTTTAATAAAGAATACACCATAATTGAGTGACTTTTAGTTGATACAAGAATTTGAAACCACCGACAGCAACAAAATCAATAAATTCTCAATAAGACCGATCCAGCATAAAATCATAAACATACAGTTTTTCACATAAAAATCTTAAAAGCCTTGAAATTACACCATAGATGATGAATATGAAACTTAGAAAATTATATCATGTTTTACCTGAGTGAAAATCTCCTTCATTTTGAGAGAATCTGATTCTTTGTGCGGAGTTCTGTTGCAGACGACAACGAATAGTTGCTTGGCGACTTTGTTAACTGGAAATAATCAATATTTTTACCTGTCACAATTCCCAAAATGGAAGTTTTCAATATCTACTTCCATCGTTATGTTGTGAGCTCACAAATTAATCGTGTATTGATTTTTTACATCCTTGCTTTTGATTAATAGAGTTCTAAAAACTGCAATATCGATCAACAATATCCTTTCCAAGCAGTCCTTAAACATAATTTACATCGGGGAAAGGAAGGTACTGCGGAATCATTTTAATTCGTGGGGAGTCAATGTTCGTGCAAGCAAAATTTTATTTGTTCGTGGTGACGTAATTTCGTGGATTTCTGGTTTATACGGTAGATTCAATGAATCAATGTTTACACAATAAACTATGGAATCCGGATAGGGCCATGCAGTTCACTATCGCATCATCGCACCATCGAGGTTTGAGTCGATAGTGCGATGACGATGATGCGATGGCACGACAATGCGATGACAATGATGCGGTGGTACGATGAAGCGATGACGCGATGGCACGATAGCGATGATGCAGTGGTGCGATAGCGATGATGCGATGGCGCGATAGTGATGGCGCGATGTTATATCGTGTCATCGTTATTGCTTTATCGCACTATCGTCATCGTGTCATCGCACCATCGCTCTATCGACTAGTACTTTCTATAACCGGATAACATTCCCAGCAGTCATTGCACAACATGGCGTTTGTTGACGAAAAGATTCAAGAATATTTCTTTAACGGATACGATAATAAAGAAAAATATTCCTTCTTTGAAGTAATTATGGTGTGAAAATAAGGTAGGTATTATTAATTGTCATAAGTTATGATAATGTAAGTACGTGTATAGGCTAATATTTTCTCTAAGAGTAATAAAGTTACTATACATTAAATTTATAGTCTCATTCAAAGATTGTTTATATGCGTGTTCTACTTGTATGTATATATCTGTTATTTAAGAAATAGTGATTGAAGTTAAAAGCTCCCATTTTAAGATATATTTTATGCATTATTTTTTTTTAAATAATTAAGCTGTAGACATTTGAAAAGGCGCATGACCAGACTAAATTTGAGAAGACGGAGATCATACAATGTGGATATGGCAATAAGGGCTATTCAGGTAATATTGCTTGTGTTTTATTTCATCATTCTTCTTTGATAGATTGATCAAATTTAGAAAAATCGTCAGTAACATCTACATTTTGATGATAGCTCATTATTTTTAGTTAACTCATACAAATGTTAAAAATTTCATATGATTTACATATATTCTACTCAAAGGAAGAAATGATGTTCAGTGGACAGACTCTTGGGTGTCGTTCGATGAAACGAAGACTTCTTCAGAAACATGGCATCTTTATAAGAAGGTATATTATCTTATTATGTTTAATAAACAGAATTCAGGTTTCTTGTTCAAAGTATTAATGTTATTTCTATAATTCAGCAGAATGCCAATTATACAGAATATTTGCTGACATTACTTTTATGAGCTTAAGGACATACACAACATAGTGTTGGAATTTTATTTTCTTATTCCCTTGTTGATTTAATTAAGAGTTCAATAATTGAAAAACCTTTGTACAATTTAATGATGCCTGTAAATGCCGTTACCTCCTCTGAAGCAACTGTTGAGGAAATACCAGCTAAAACTATATTTTTGTTATTTTTTTCTTTGAGAAAATACAATGATTTTCATCATTTGACATCTTTTGAAAACACCTGGTAATGTATGCTTTTTTTTGTCTTAAAACACCTGCTGAGATTCTATAATTCTAAATTAGCAATATCCTGGAAAATAGTTGGTAAGGTACATGTAAATGCAAGTTGCATATGACCTTAAGAGGCAATAATGCTTTTCTTAGTCAAAATTTGCAATTTTTATACTACTTGACATGTATTTCTAACTCAACCCTTTAGTTTCCTTTTCTTTCAGAAGATACATCTGAAATTAATCTAAACATGCTCTTGGCGTATTGGACTGGAGCTGACACATTCCCTCCACTAGGATTTCACAAAAAGCTTGAAATTAAATTTGTGGAAGACCCTGCCTGTTTGCCAGTTGCACAAACCTGCGATCTTTTGTTGGAAATATCTAGGGGAGAACCCCCTGAGGAATTTCACAGAAAAATGTAGTTGGCAATGACTTGGGGGGGGGGGGGGGTTCCATCTTGCTTAAGAAAATAACTTTATGTATTCAATGCTATATCTATGTTTTGAAAGTTTTCATTCAATTAATTTTCAAACTCAATAATGGCAGTGATAGTCATATTAAGGAATAAGAGTATTTCTTAAGGGAAAGATAATACTAAAGGACATTGATAATCATATGAGGAACATTTCTTCAGGGAAAGATAATACAAAAAGACATTGATTTTTGTATGGGAATATTAATTGATATTTGGTGTATTTGTAGTAGTAAGCATGCTTTTGAATTTTAAATTCTAGATTGTTGCATCTGTATGCCAAAAAAGTTTTTCTCAGAGCAGTTTGCTTTCCTTATATCCTCATTTTGCAATTTTCATTAATAGTTGTTCTAATGAATATGGCATGTATGGTGACCCAATAAACATAGTAATAATTTCTGTTTGTGACTTTTAATTCATACACTTAGATGATTAGTGTACAACATTTTTCATGAAAATTGAAAAAAAGTCAAGTGAAACATCAGGTGATGATTTATTCTCTAATCTTAATTTGGATTTTACAACTTTCCAACCAAGTACTTCAAAGCCTCCATGGCCTTCTCAGTGGTGTTTGGAACAGTTCTCCCACCCTCCAAAAGCAAATGATCAAAGTATGCTGCATTGTCCTCACAACATCCTGTCGAGCTTGGACTAGTAAATAATCTTTGAAACTCTAGCACGTCATGAATATCCACTGGAAATTTATAATCTACTGCACCTGTACATAAAAAAAAATGAAGTCATAATGTGTTGATACTGTTTTAAATTTGAGCACTGAAAAACAACCAAGGTATCGAAGGAGAAAGGTAAACACAGAAAAATATTCAAATAAAGTTAGTGATTAAACAAATCTTTGCTAGGAAAAATACTAAAAATTTGAGGGTGGAAAAACATCATTTCTGGTTTTCCTGGGAGACTTCCATCATCATCATAGCGTCTATGTGCTCTGATGTAATGGTTATTCCATTCTGTTTTTATTTGATCAAGTTCTTGTTGGATGATTTTCATAAAACAAAAGCGAAGGCATTCTCTAAATTGCATGCAGAAATATCATAATAGGTTATAATCGCATAAATTCTTAAAGTATAAATAAAGAATTTATTTCTCCTCTTACATGTGCTCGTTATTTGCTGATGAGAACATCCCTTGGTCTTTCATGTTTTTGAACAAGTGTATCCAGAAGGAGATGCCCATCTCTCTCAGTGTTCTCTACCAGCGTTCAATTCTCTTAAATCAAAATGTGTTTTTGAAAAACTGAAGGCTGATTTTTCAAAAGTAGGTCAAACTTCAAGGTTATTGAGTACAAATGTTGGTACTGTCACAAGGAATACAAAACTTCCCTAGGATCAACCGTTCAAAGTTATGGCCAAGGTCAAAGTTTTACAAAAGTAGATTAAACTCCAAGGTCAGTTATTATAATGTTGGTACTCAAAGACAGATTTTTTTTTTTACAAGAAATACACTTGAGAAATATGAAATCTCTAACATCAACCATTCAGAAGTTATGTCCAAAATTAAAGTTTTTTCACAAGAAGGTCGAACCCTATGGTCAAGGTCATTACGTCAAAAAATGTTGGTGCATTAAAGTCTTTGCAAATAAAAATACAGACAGATCCAAAGCTATATGGATAAAGCCCCCTAATCTTGAATCATAGGGGCGTAAAACAATCACATAAATATGTCATATATAAATTCATAATGATACAGAAACAATAATTTGTATATCAGATTATGTGCAGAGATATTTTAAATCATTAAACTGACTTCATTTTCAAATATTTGACAACAGGTTTCTTGAAAGGGGTATAGAGAGGGGTATGGGAGGGTTATCCCTCCCCTAGGTCAGAAAATTTATAATAAAAATGCATAAAGTCTGTTGCATTCTGGGGGTCATTTTTTTCAAATATATAATAAACAAATAAATAGCAAAACTTTAAACAAAAGATTGGTGTTTTCAGGGGTTGCAATTGCATCCATGCCCCCCCCCCTTAATGGCTCTGTAGTATAACTAATACTATAAAAAGAACTGTTGAACTCTATTAAATGAAACTGATGCAAATAATGAAAGTATGAAGTTTGCAAAACTTATTATTTTTAAAATTATCTGTGGTGTCAGATTACACAATGACGCCTATGAAAGATAATAATATGAAGAATTTTTTTTTTGTCTTTGAAAAGTAATAGTGAAAATAATCAGTTGATCTATTTTCCCTCAGGAAAAATGTTCAGAAAAGTAGAGAGTTTGAAAAGAAACTTAAATGAGGATTACACATACAAATTTTTAAAGTATTCAATTACTTCAGTAATTTGATCTTATATTAAGTTGGGACTTACTGAATTGACTGTGATTAGTAGACTATTCAGATTTGATCAAGTCCCTCCCCCCCCCCCCCCCCCCCCTCAATTTTCAAATCAAAGGGCAAATTACTCTAACTTCTACTGCAGGAGTGTTAACTGGAATTGGAACTCAATCCTAGGTGTGCAGATTTTAGAAGGTTATTAAACTCATCTGATTTGTTTATACAATATAAGTTACTGAATCATATTGTTATTTTAAAAAAAACTTCATATTCATACCTGGTTAGACATTGATCTTCCTTTGATTACACTCTTTTCTCCACACATGTAATCATTATGGTACCAACGGAAGGATTTTTGAATGTCCTCAATGTATATACTCTCAGTTCCAGCATCAAGTCTCACACACCTTGGAGCACCTATGTATTGGAAAACTCATACTACCATGAACTGAGACAATTATGGTTTCTTTGTTCAAGTAAATATTTTTTACAAAATAATGCATTTTATGTGTATTTATTCTGTATCAATACAAAATAATGTATTTAGAATGTTACTTTGTAGAAAATTAACTTGTGAAAATTAAACTGCATTTACAGTTTTCAGGAATATATTTATCAATGATTTGTAAAAATTATATACTCAACTATTTATTTCCTCCAGGTATTTCAAGAAATATGATGCTACAACAAAGGAGTCATTGTTTGTTCTTGCAACTTTAAGCCATAGTATTCGTCTTGAAAATCTGAAAGAATAGGAATTTGATCATTTAGATTAATAGTTAATATTGTTTTCTGATATGTAGCTACAACAGTATATAACAATCATAAATTCTATAACTTCATAAATTCTTGTAATCTTACATGACTCAAATGAACACTAAAAACTGATGCACATTAACTTACCCACACATTGCACCATGTATAGCGAAGCCAAATGGCTTCAACTTGTCGTACCCATCAACATGTGCAAGATAATTTGGTCCATTGTTTAGATACATTCTTCTTGTCAAGCAGTGACTTGCTCTTAGATCAACTCCATCAGGATCGATTATTCTCAATAAACACAACATGTTATCCCTGGAACAGTATATATATAATTAATCATCAACGATTTTAAATCTAACCATTACATTTTAACAAAAAAAATTAATTCAATGAAATTATTATAAATATCTTATTGATATAAAACTCATTATAAGCAATAGGCACATCGTTTGAATTCTGTTTATTAAGGCCAAAATAAAAAATACCTTTGTTTCCCCTAACGCGACCGACCCTCTTAAATCATGCCGACTAAAAAGTTTTTTTAATAAGATTATTAAAATATTTTTTTTTTATTGTTTATCAACTTTATAAAATACAATTTCATCAAAATCCGGGGTTTTTTTATCAGAACGGCGGCTTTTGTTTTACTCTCATTCATGTGGCCACAAAGGGTTCGTTCGTGTTATAAAACAACGGCGATGTATCAATCTTACTATATATCTTTAACTTATTAGAATCCTACACTCTTGAAAAATTTCGTGAATTAAATATACCATGACTAAGGAGTGTTAAGATGGTATTTACAAATATGTCTTTTAAAATTAATGTACGTAGTAAGCATGGCTAAGCCTGCCTAATGAGCAGATGAGGAGCCCACCTTGTGTATGCATATCAATAAGTTTCACTGCATTTCAATCGTTTCAATCTAATAAATACTTCATGTATGATTCTATTTTTACTATATAGGCCCCTAGGATTTGTAAATATGTCTTTGTATAATTATTTCATATTGATAAATATAATTCAGATGTCGTTTCTCCCTTCCTTTTATTTATGGGGTAAACTTCGTAACTATAACATTAGATATATGAAACTTTAATCATTTAAGAAATGGTTTGATTGAATTAAATATTGTTTATAAAGGTACACACTTTTCAAATAGTGTTAAAATCTTTAAAATTGGCTTATGGTACTGCTTCCTGAGACGTCCAGTGTATTTTTCTTTAGTTAGGCCTTTGAAAATAGGCTGTTTCTTTACTTTAAAACATCTTTTTAAATTGTTTGAGTCGACAACATTTGAACACCTATCTGGTGGAAGGCTCCTAATTTACAATTTTTCTTGGCACTTATGGCCATTGATCATAAAGCATCAATAAGGGATCTTTTTCGTGCCATCATCTACATGTACACTGCAACACTGCATGGACCTACGTTTTTTATGGTCTCATTTGACTGACCAGTCTCCACGTCCCACGTCGGGACCTGTGACTTACAATAAGCTCCTGAATTACGCCAAGACTCCAAACGAAACACTAGAATTACTGCGCCACGCGAGGCCCTTGACATTTTGTCTGTGTAAGCACTCAAATATGATAGTAGGTTTGAAAAAATATACTTGGGTGGCCGATGGTTGAGTATTTGCGAATCTTGTCTTTTTGTAAAAATTTGATTTCATTTAATTTACGCTGGCCTGAGATATTTCACAAGTTCAAATGAATAATATTTGTGAATTAATTTACCATACATGTTGCTTTTAAATTTCATTTGTATGATATTCGGTTTAAAAATCGGTTTCTTTTGTTCTCTCTTATTTATAAAGACACTATTCAATTTTTCAGAAAGTATTTTCAAAACTGTTGTCAGAAAAAAAAAAATAATTTACCTACCTACCTACCCAACTTGAAATTTTAGGGTCGGGTTAGGGGAAACAAAGATAATTTTAATGATGGCCTAATCATAATAAGATAATATACCTTCCTATAAAGATGCCATGTTTCTGAAGAAGTCTTCGTTTCATCGAACGACACCCAAGAGTCTGTCCACTGAACATCATTTCTTCCTTTGAGTAGAATATATGTAAATCATATGAAATTTTTAACATTTGTATGAGTTAACTAAAAAATAATGAGCTATCATCAAAATGTAGATGTTACTGACGGTTTTTCTAAATTTGATCAATCTATCAAAAAAGAAAGATGAAATAAAACACAAGCAATATTACCTGAATAGCCCTTATTGCCATATTCACATTGTATGATCTCCGTCTTCTCAAGTTAAGTCTGGTTATGTGCCTTTTCAAATGTCTACAGCTTAATTATTTAAAAAAATAATGCATAAAATATATCTTAAAATGGGAGATTTTAACTTCAATCACTATTTCTTAAATAACAGATATATACATACAAGTAGAACACGCATATAAACAATCTTTGAATGAGACTATATATTTAATGTATAGTAACTTTATTACTCTTAGAGAAAATATTAGCCTATACACGTACTTACATTATCATAACTTATGACAATTAATAATACCTACCTTATTTTCACACCATAATTACTCCAAAGAAGTAATATGATTTCTTTATTATCGTATCCGTTAAAAAAATATTCTTGAATCTTTTCGTCAACAAACGCCATGTTGTGCAATGACTGCTGGGAATGTTATCCGGTTATAGAAAGTACTAGTCGATAGAGCGATGGTGCGATGACACGATGACGATAGTGCGATAAAGCAATAACGATGACACGATATAGCATCGCGCCATCACTATCGCGCCATCGCATCATCGCTATCGTGTCATCGCGCTATCGCTTCATCGTACCACCGCATCATCGTCATCGCATTGTCGTGCCATCGCATCATCGTCATCGCGCTATCTTACCATCGCTTCATCGTTATCACACCATCGCTTCATCGTCATCGCATTATCGCGTCATCGCACTATCGACTCAAACTTCGATGGTGCGATGATGCGATAGTGAACTGCATGGCCCTATCCGGATTCCATAATAAACGTTCGTGGGGATGTAAATTCTTGGGTAAGGGTGACCCGCGAAATCCACAAACAGTAGTCTCCCACGAATAATGATGATTCCACAGTATATCAAATGCTTTGTGATTTATGCAAACTGATGCAATAAACTTCAAATAATTGGAAAATATACAGAAATAACTTAGAAATACTGAAAAACCTTCTAAAACAACTTTAAAATGTTTGGGTTTTATTTTTAAACTAATAAGACTTTAAAATACATAATCAAGAGTTAAAAAGTGTACTTATTGTCAATACAAAATAACTCGGATATAAAGTATTTGGAAATGGAAATAATTGGTAATTCCCCCCGTTAACGTAAATGTTTTTATCATGAATTCAGTTATTACGATTTACCAATGCAGTCTGCAAATTGTTCTTCATTTAATGATGGCAATTAAATATTGTTTACAGATTAAGGTTCCAGGGTATTCCATATTCTGACGCAATGGGGTTTTTTTTACTTCCTGGTAGTAATTGCAAAGACACCCCAAGGTAACGAGGGGGTGAAGTGTCGTTCAGGTAGGGTCCTATGTCAATAAGCTGAACAGCGGATGGACACAATAAATCAAGGCTAAATCTCCAAATATCTCTTAAGATACTCAAATAGTTATGATCATTAAATATTTCAGTGCTAGATAAAACGTTTGTTGTAACTATGAATTTCTGACATCTCATTATTTCGTCCGGTTTTATTTAACAAGGGAGTAAGGGACTCCGTGCGTGTAAGCGATGTTATCAATTTCTCCAAATCCATCCACTACCGAAAACCCTGGGAGTACAGAAATTCCGAGTATCCGGGATTCAGTCCCTGTTATTCTGTTGTTTATATTCGGAGTTTTCGGAAATCTGGCAGCGCTTCTTACACTATGCTCCAGATCAAACTCTCACGAATGGCGACCTTTCTACAGATTCGTTTGTGGTTTAGCAGTTACCGATGGTGGCGGGATTCTGATCTCCATTCCGATTTCAGAGTATCAGTATCTGTCCCGATTCAAGGATCCGTTGTCGACCCCTCTCTGTGATTACCTCGCCTTTGTCTACATGTTCACATTGATGTCCTCTGCCATGATCGTCTGCTGCATGTCTGCGGACAGATTTATTGCCACATATTTTCCTCTACTTTACAACAGCCCGACCAAAGGGCGAAGAGCCAACATTACATTGGCCTTACTGTGGGTATCATCAGCCATCCTTTGCAGTCTACATGTCTTCGGATTAGGATCCGCCAAGATTTTCTATCCCGGATCATGGTGCTTTTTGAATTTCATTGACACAGATGTTCCTAAGAATGAAGTGTATACTTACATTTATGCTATTGTTGGTGTTCTAGCCGTGATAATGACAATTATTTTGAACTTTGCTGTAATCGCATATTTTGCTTATAAAACATTTCGAAGAAAGTCCTCCAAGAGTTCTTTTCAAGGCTGGCGAGAGGTTCACGTGATAATATTCCTCCTCACCATAGTAACCGTTTTGACTTCCTGTTGGTTTCCTTTAATGGTACTCCTTCATATATATTTCATAAAAACAGATTGTTTTTGAAATATTTTTTGAAATAGGTTAAATATATTTTGTCAGAAATTTCCGCTCGTTAAATTTGATGTCAAAGAGGGATTCTTCTCATTTTTACTGTATTCAAAAATTCATGAAATTTTCACGAAGATAATATCACGAAGTGTGGATATCAGGTAAATTAAATTTGACCGTTTAATTTTAGTAACAATGTCAGGTCAAGGTCACTATGTTTTTCCTTGTCATTAAGGACGAAAATTACTGTTATACCTACATGTACATCTATTTCGAAATATGATATTTTAGCATGAAAAGATAATATCACATAAGATGTATCAGATACGACAACTAAATTAAGATAAATAATCCAAATAAAAAAAGAATGGCTCATCCGAATTTCCTCAAATTTTCTAAGGAGTATTAGCTATTTTTATATGCTTCATATATTTTAATTTTTCTAATTTTCCCAGTGGGAAAAAAAACATATATAGATAAAAAAGGACATGAAAACAAAAATATTAACCATCAAATAGGATGAAAAAAAGTATTTACTGTTTTGTTTTTTTGTTTTGTTTTTTTTTTCACTCAAATCGGTTTGTAGTTTTAAAGCTTAAAACTGCTTACAATATTGTAGTATGTTTGGAAAATCATATTTATCGAATATATAAACCTTAAGTCCCGAATTACAATTTTTATTTACTTCAGAAAATCCTTAAAGATTAAAGAATCTTTTGATTGTTTAAAACTAAATTTATTAATCTTAAAAAAAAAAAAAAAAAAAATGAAAAGGTAAAACGTGCTATTTTCCTACGCCGCTGTTCCGCCAGTTTATCATTTCTTTGCCAAGTTGTACAAGAAGGAAAGAAAAATATGGTCTTTTAAATTCATAAAATCTCTAAAAAAAGGACATTTAAGTCAAAAACCTGACAAGAATCCCTCCTTAAAAAACTTTATAAAATCAATTGAGAAAAATTAATAGGGAATGTGTGTTTAGAAAAGATATATTTTTCTATTATAAAGCCGTTTCCATACGTGTTAAAATTATTTAAATTTTCCTCCGCAGGTAAACATGCTTCAGCACGCTTCTAAAACCATCAGCGGAGAGGGAGAGACGGAACTCCTTTTGGTTCGCCTCAGTCTCACAAACTCCGTCATTGACCCCTGGATTTATATTCTCTTTCGGCGGGAGATTGCGCTACTGGCGGTAAACTGCACCACAAAGGTTTATAAGAGGACGAAGAGGGCAAGGAAACCATATACAGAGTCGGCAGTTTGCAGCAGAACAGAGAGAGGGACGTCGGGAAGTGTGCAAGCAAATCCTCTAGGGGAGGAACAGTGACGTCATGATTACATCATGAAAATAACAGAAGCGTTCCGAAAATTAATGGCAGCAGAGTTTGATTGTTTAGTCGGTTAATTCTCTTTACCCTGAGTTTTCACTCATTTAACATTTTTTAACGTCTAAGAAGTGTGAGTCAACAAAAATGATTGATTCCTGTTCCGTGCGAGTTTTTGTTTATTTGATGACATCTTAGCAATATTTTTTTCATCTTCTATATAATTCAGTATACCTATTGTGCCCTCATGTACAGGAGCTCTGCTAAATGGCAATTTACTGTTCTGTTCAATTTGCCGGATATTAAAGCAAAGAGTTAAAGAGAAACGGGAACCGGTGATTTCCTGAGCAGAGATTTCATTTACTGTCAGTAATCACTAGTCCCATATAACTGAAATCATGGAAAATTGTATACAACAGGGATCAATATTTTCTTGAAGGCAGAGCGACTCGTAAATGATCACATGACTATAAACAGTGTGGTTAAAAGCACGTGGTAAACAATATTAATGTCAAGTATGCTTTAACGGGTGTCTGACATTTTTATGATAAATAAATCAAACATAGTAAAATAAACAGTGAAAAAAAAATTCCCCCTAAAAATTCCCACTCCTTAACGGATGTTAAAATTTGCTTGTTTCCTAGCGAATTGAAACATGAATTATCAAATATTTAAACAGCGTTAAGTTAAATCCAAAAATGGCGTATTTTCAGTTAAGTTCACATAACCAAAATTAAAAAGATCTTTCTATTTGTTTTATTACTTTTTATAAAGATAGGAATTTTCTGTTTATTACACAGTTTTTAATTAAATACGTTTTAAAGATATAAAAAATTTAAATGTATTAATTTAATTAACCGATTTAGTTTTACCGATCCACATTTAGATAACAGACACAGTTTAACATTCTTTGTGCCGCGGGCCTATTATGGGCCTATTTTCAAAAACTACGTTAAGTGCCATCATCGGCCTCTTTTGGGCCTATTGTTAACCCATTACCGTCAATTTAACTTTAGAAACACGAGGTAATTCAAGTTTAAAATAGATGAAAATTTTAATTAGAACGTAAATAACGTATATCATGTATATCTACACTCAATCTCGTATTATTATTTTTCAGCTCAGATACGCCATATATAGCTTTAAAATTGGATATTGTGGTGCAAACAGTTTAGTTTTGTTATTTGTTTTTACAGTGTACCTCTGTTTACTGTCCATGACATTGCACGGGCTGTATAGTAAACTATTTATTACATGTGACCAGCTCGCGTATGTTATTTGTTGGATATATTGGTCGATATTTTTAGTGTGCTATGGACCAAACGCAGTACAATATTATGAATATATACCATGGCTTCAATGTAGATGATGTATTAAAGGGGTTTGGACAAAGATATGAAGTTAATATTTTCTCAAATTTTCTGTAAATTATCATTAATTAGATGTTGATAGGACAATAATAGCAGCGTGTTCAGAAACTGCTTTTATCTAGCTATTACTAGTATTAAAACTATGAATTTCGGGACTCGTTTGATTGACACAAATCCTCGTTCTTCACGAAGTAAACTTTACTCCCTAAAAATTAAGAAAAGTAGAAATTTTCTTTGTATTAATAAAAAAATATTTAAACTATAATCCAGAAAATTCAGAGTAGAAAGGTGAAAAAGCAAAGCCAGCTCACCTTGCTCAGTGATGTGTGCTTAGTTAAACAAATTAAACGCAACCGGTAAAACAAAACATTTACAACAAGCATTCTGAGAGTATTGCATTAGCAATACAAGTCCCCTACCGGCAAGTGTAATCTGGTTCCCGTTAAGAATTGAAAATGCCATAATTCCGTCAAAAATCAATGAAGCGGGACGAAATGCAAACTTGATCTATAACTAATCAAAGTAAAGCCACATACCAAAAATCAGCTCAATATCTACAAGCGTTTAGAAGAAAATTGCGGAAAACCCGTAAAAATTGAAAAGGCCGTAATTCCGTCAAAAATCAATGAAGCGGAACGAAATGCAAACTTGATCTATAACTAATCAAAGTAAAGCCACATACCAAAAATCAGCTCAATATCTACAAGCATTTAGAAGAAAATTGCGGAAAACCCGTAAAAATTGAAAAGGCCGTAATTCCGTCAAAAATTAATGAAGCGGGACGAAATGCAAACTTGATCTGAAACTCATCAAGATACACTCACGTACCAAAAATCAGCTCAATATCTGCAAGCATTTAGGAAAAAAGTGCGGAAAACCAAGTGGGACAGACTGACAGACAGACAGAGGGACAGACAGACGGACAGACAGACAGACGGACAGACAGACGGACGGACAGACTCAGAGGAAACCTATAGTCCCCTCCGGTTTCACCGGTAGGGGACTAATAACAGAGCTCGTGCCCTGTATTCAAAAACAGATGTTTGACGTGATATGTAATCGTTATAATGTTTTGCCGAAACATGATGTGATGAAATTAGACTTACAATTAACAAGCATTCTGAGAGTATTGCATTAGCAATACTAGTCCCCTACCGGCAAGTGTAATCTGGTTCCAGTTAAGAATTGAAAATGCCATAATTCCCTCAAACATTAATGAGGCTGGACGAAATGCAAACTTGATCTATAACTAATCAAGGTAAAGCCACATACCAAAAATCAGCTCAATATCTGAAAGCGTTAAAAAGAAAATTGCGGAAAACCTGTAAAAATTGAAAAGGCCGTAATTCCGTCAAAAATCAATGAAGCGGAAAGAAATGCAAACTTGATCTGTAACTCATCAAGATACACTCACATACCAAAAATCAGCTCAATATCTGCAAGCGTTTAGGAAAAAAGTGCGGAAAACCAAGTGGGACAGACTGACAGACAGACAGAGGGACAGACAGACAGACGGACAGACAGACGGACGGACAGACTCCGAGGAAACCTATAGTCCCCTCCGGTTTCACCGGTAGGGGACTAATTAATTTGTAGTCATATAAAGTACGGCAAAGTGCGTGTTAAATGCCTATTCGGTAGTTTGTTGTGGAAAGTATCCGACTTACATGGTGAAGGTACCGGTTTCGATACCCAGTATTTTTCCGCATCAAAATATTAATTTTATTAATTTTTTCAAGTCACACCAAGCTTTGTGCCAAAAGGTACGGGGGGGAAGGGATGTAATATAATTTTTAAAAGAAAAACAGTTCTCTATGTGATTTACAACTCTCCATGCACTAAAAAAAAAAGATAATGAAACAAATGAATGACAATACAAGTGGATTTCAGGAATTGAATGTTGCAAAATGTCACATGGAGACCACGGTTTCTATATCGTGTACAAGTTGTCTACACTTCCGGATCCGTAACATCCGTAACTCAATTTGTGCATAGCTTGTTAGAACTTGGAAGAATAGTAAAAAAATGTTAGTAACATTTCAATTTTCTCTCTCTCTCTCTCTCTCTCTCTCTCTCTCTCTCTCTCTCTCGTGTGTGTGTGTATGTGAGGCTGTGAGTGGATAGGTTTAGAGGCCCGTGTTTGCTCTGCTCCAAAATTTGTATTGTTTAATGGACTTGTGAAATCAGACTGTGGCATTTTTTACAGGTTTACGTAATGTTTTATAGGTGTAACGAAAAGGAGGTAAAACTTGAAATTACAGGCAATGTACATATATAGGCAAGCTGAGGAACATTACTAACACGGATATATTGCAGGGTCCAGTAAATGTTCAACCTATCTTTATTCCTCATCAAATATTAACTGCTATGAAGAAGAAACTTCAGACGTGCTTTGCTATAGCATATTCAAGAATTGGTGTGAATTGGACTCACAAAAACTATTAAGTACTTTTGGAATTTTAATTTTTTTTTAAAAAATCAAAACATATAACTTAAACGCTTTATACAACGATTCCTTACGGTAAATCAAAGTGCATGCTAATTGACATTATAGACAACGGTCATTAAAAATCACTGATTCTACACAAGAACTTTGAAGTACATATTGATATTGTAATTGACTAACAATCTTGCAATGGTCACTTATTATGCTTCTTTATTAGCTGACCTGTTTTTATGTTCTAATGAAGCAGAATTTCTTCAAAAACTTTTACATGTGATTAAAAAAACTCTTTTTACGGCTCACAGTTCAAAGCTTCGATATATTGACGACATTTTATCAATAAAAAATAGCTATTCTCATCCATATGTCTAGTCGATATATCCCAGTGAATCAGCATGAACCATATATAGAATCTGACACATCTGCTTTGTACTTGGATATTTTACTGACTACAGATGCTTATTCCCAACTAGCAACTAAATTATATAACATATGGGGTGAATACAGTTTTTCCATGGTAAACTTTCTCAATTTATTTAGTAATATTCCACAATTACCTGTATTGGGTGTTTATTTCTCCCAAATGATTCGATACTCAAAAGCTTGAGTATGTCATGAGTATGATCAATTTTTGAACAGAGGTCAGTTACTGACAAATAAGTTGATATGACATGGTTTTCAACTACGCTGAATCTCGTTTACACTCAGCATTTCGCAAATTCAATGGTCGTTATAATGAGCTTGTTTGCAAATACGAACTATCGTTGGATCGTATTTGCCACAAATTATTAGGCTATTGTTATTATACTATTTTGACTAGGTTTACCCCGTTTACCTGATCAGTAGAGGGCTCAGGGCGGATGTAATTGGTCAACAGAGGATGATTACTCCATCTAGGCACCTGATCCCATTTCTGGAGTCTCCAGAGGTTCGTGTTTTTGACTTTTTTACGATGTGTATTCTTTACAGGATTTATGAGATCAATTATTGTTCGTTATCTTCGTCTTTTACATTCCAACAGTCCTGCTTGACACCAGAATGAAAAGGCTAGTGCCTAATGATCTTTATTTCACAACAGTCAGAATTCTCTTATTTCATTGAATTTTTGAAATTTGATCAAAGATTGACCAAAATGGGATCCCTAGCTAGGCTATACGCATTTAATATTTTTATATAGTATATCTAGTTCATATACAATCAGATGTACAATTATATGTAAGAATTCGTACACGTGTTTTTCAGTAGTAATAAATATCTACATTACATGATTGTTTTCACGACCTGTTTACTTTTGATATATATCCTTGAAATAAACGGAAAGGGAGAAGTTATTATTTATAGTCTTGTGTATTGTTTGATAGATAAATAGAACGAAGTATTCTGTATAAGCTCAGTACAAAGTCTTTACTGTGTGAAGCACTGTGAGTTTATTTAAAAAAGTGTTTGCTGTGTCAAACACTGTGAATTTATGTTAATATTAACTATGAATAATGATACAGTACCAAGTGAGTTTAGTACATCTATCGTGGACGTTTCTACCCACACAATGGCAGAAACATTAACCACGGTTACAGGAGGGAAAGCTGAATCTCTCGTAAGTAATGCTGTTCCGGCCTATCTGGTGTTTGTCTTCGGAGTTGGTGGAAATATTATTGCCCTGGTGGTATTACTAGTGACTGCCAAAACTCATAACTGGCGGCCATTTTATAGGTACGTCTGTGGACTTGCGATCACGGATGGAGGTGGACTACTTATATCGGTTCCCGTATCCCTCTCTATGTACGCCTCAGAATTACAGAGAGAATTGTCTCCAACTCTATGTAACTTTCAGATGTTTTGGTATATGTTTACTCTGATGTCGTCCGCCATGATCGTTTGTGGCATGTCTTTTGACAGATTCTTCGCCACATATTATCCTTTTTACTACAACAAACCCCACAAAAAAATCCGAACTAATGTAGTTTTATTAGTCATCTGGGTACTTTCGGCGCTCATCAGCAGTTTACCTTTTTTCGGACTTGGTTCCAGTCGTAAGTTTTATCCTGGCACATGGTGTTTTTTGAATTTTATTGAAACATCCATAGAGAGCAATATAATTAACTCAATCATCTATGCTTCTATCGGCATCATCATTGTCTTTGCTACATGGACCTTCAATATCGCAGTTATCATCTACTTTGTTTACAAGAGATACAAGAAAGAGTCCACTTGGAGCGGATGGAAAGATGCGCATGTCATAATTTTTCTCTTGTCAGTGGTGATTCTGTTTACTTCCTGTTGGTTCCCATTAATGGTAAGAAGTTGATAATTTCAGAGATATATACATGTTATATTTTTTGTGTTAAGAATTGAAATGACAAGTTTTATGAGTTAAGATCTATTTTAATAGGATTCCTTTCAATGTTCGAAGAAAAACGTCCATTAGAAAATAATTCCGATGTTTTTTCTGCAATTATAAGATTTTCAAGACTCTCTGTTTGATCAAAGTACCTCTGCTCAAAACAACTCTCTTCGAAAAATAAGAAAAGGGAAAAAGTCAAAAAGTAGACAATGAATATGAATATTCAGATATGACAAAATGTCATTTGGAATCCTTATTTCTGAGATAGGTCAACCATTGAAAGATTTTGGTATATACTGTATGTCCTTTAATTTCTATGGAGATACAATATATTTTCCAGTCTTTTAAATTCATTTTACTTCAATGACAAGGACGTCCTGGACAACGATTTAATTTGTTGATATCTACGTTCTTGTGTCAAAAATAAATTATTCTAATCAAAATAAGAAATATATTGGGTCAGTTTTAATGTAAATGTAAAATGAACTCTTTTTATAAATATCATGAGGCGAAATGAATATACTTCATAAGGTAATATAGAAGGACCCGTCAAATAAACGTTACTCCATATGTTATTTCGAAAATGAATGTTGTATGACAAGTCACAAGAACTACGTGTACACGATGTATTTGATTTGATCATTCTGGGACACGATACCTTTGCTTTCCTGTCAACTGTATACTCTATATCCTGGTGAAAACGCTTGTTGTCATTACTATATACTGTACTATTTTCAGGTAAATATTCTGGGACATGCCTCATTCGCACTTCCGGAAACAGCTGGTAAAACTGAGCTTTTATTGACAAGACTGAGCATCACAAACTCCATAGTTGACCCCTGGTTGTACCTTGTGTTCCGGGGAGAGATCTACTCTGCTGTGCTGGTCTGTGTTAGACGCATATACAGCAAGAGGAAAGCCAACATCTCAGAGAGTACTCCACACACTCTCGAAGCTCTGTCTTTAGAGACAAAGAACAAACCAGATACGGCGTCCATAAGTTCGAATGAGGGCTGCAATGTTTAAATTGGAAAGATTTGTGACAGAAAATATGATTTTAATCAAACAATTGTATAATCTTCTAATTCATGAATAATGAATATGAATGCAAATTTAAATGTTTCCCATTCTCGTCACATGAACCAGAAGAACACGGGTTTCGAAAGATTGATTTTGGCTTTTTATAATTCCCTTTTTTCCATTTACATTGAAAACGATTACTGTATATTAAGTTTTATCACAAATGATATTCACAATCCGAAACTAGGATTGTGAATTTCATTTTCAAGAAGAATTCGTGTGAAACTGCTTAAACTTTTAAATATGATTTATTTTCTCCTTTAATTGTATAAGTTTTTCACTATGGTAAATGATCAATTTATAGCTCTAATAAGCTTTGTTGAGAATTATCTTTCATAGTTATATTAACATTCATTCATTGAGGGAATAAACAAATTTAACGAGATTTTGTGTGTTTAACAAATTTTTTATAACATTAAATTAATGAAAAACTACCAATTTATATGAAATATAAAATTCTTCAAAATCACATGGGGTCCTTCGGATGAGACCTTAAAAACCGAGGCCCCGTGTCTCACGGTAGGCGTTGGCACGATAAAGATCCCTCACTGCTCAATGGCCCTGAGTGCCGAGTAAAGGTCAAAATTTGAAGCCCTTCACCGGTATATGGTGACGTCTCTATATGAGTGAAAAATTCTCGAATGGGACGCAAAACAACAGACAATCAATCAATCAAATTCATATGTCAGTTATGAATATTTCTGATATTCCCAACAACCAAAATGAATTTGAATTCCCATATTTATATTGGATTCCTAAACTTCATAAAAATCCTCACAAACAAACATACATAGCGGATTCCAGTAAATATTCTACCAAACCTCTTTCTTTACTCCTCACTGAAATATTGACAGCAGTGAAGGAGAAATTCAGGAGTACTTTGCAACAATATATTCGAGAAGTGGTGTAAATCAGGTGTGGATACTCAAATATTCCAAGGAACTTTTGGAAAATTTGAAATCACGAAATTTTACCAAAATCAATAACATAAAAACTTTTGAACTCTGTATACAACCATACCCCACGATAAATTAAAGTCCAGGCTTTTTGAGATCACTGACAGCTGTTTTTTCAATGAAAATGGAGCTCATAAATTTACTTACCTTGTCATTGATCGTTTACAAAATTATTTGGTTAAAAAACATTTTGATTGTACACACTAGTACTCTGAAGTTGATATTGAAAAGATGCTTGAGTTTCTGATTGACAATATCTACTTTGTATGTGGAGACCAGCTCTTCCAACAATCAGATTTTCCCATGGGTACCGATTGTGCCCCGATGTTAGCAGACCTATTTTTGTATTCATGTGAAGCAGAATTTATTAAAAATCTTATACATGAGAAAAAGAAATCTCTTGCTGTGATCCCTCTGTATTTACCAGGTAAACGCTAATCTCTTGATTACTTTTTGATTACCTTATGATTACCTTATGATTACAATGGTAATAGAAGTACAAAAAACTATGGTTTTTTAATGATATTCAGTGAATAAGTTTCAGTCTGCAAATTTGTTTATGAGCAAAAATTATTATAAAATAATAGGCTATGCATAGCTATATATCTTCTATTATCCACAGGAATATTTATAATTAGGTCAACCATCCAAGTAGTGAGTAAATCCTCTTAGTAACTATGATATAGCTGTATTATGTGGTTACTTTCGAAATACTTTATAGCAGCTAAGCAATTTTGTATATGAGACAGAAACATGATGATCAGCTAAAACCATCTATGGACATGTAACCAATTTTTGTTAAAAATCTACCCTTAAAATATAAATGATGATTAAATGCAATTAAAAAGTGCGTGAAAAGAGTATTGAATTTAGAATATAATGACCTGCAAAAAACTATGTTCTATATTCAACATTAAATTAAAAACTTGTCAGAAAAAATGCTTTTAAATAATGATGATGTAATCTAGAGTAATCACAAGTAATCATGATTACATGATGGAAAAGTAATCAGATATAATCAATTACTTTATAATGTGGCTGTAATCAGCTTGTAATCGATTACTTTTAAAATCCAAAGTATTTGTAATTTAATCAATTACATTTGAAAGTAATCGACCCTATCCTTGATCCTAGGCAGTTGGTAGTGCGCTCGCTCCGTAATGGGAAGGTTGTGTGTTCGAATCACGGTCGCGACCGACCTAAGTCGTCCAAAAAAGGTAGCAACTGTTCCTTCGCCAAACGCTCGGCACTTTGAAGTGACAGTTGCATGTCTTTCGGATGAGACCTTAAAAGCCGAGGCCCTGTGTCACGGTAGGCGTTGGTAAAACCCTCACTGCTAAATGGCCCTGAGTGCCGAGTAAAGGTATAAATCTGAAGTCCTTCACTGGTATAGGTGACGTCTCTATATAAGTGAAAAATTCTCGAACGAGAATTTAAGCAACATACAATAATCAATCAATAAAACTTATCCCATTGTCATTTATCTTTATTTAGTGAACAACAGTCAGAATTCTCTTATTTCAATGTATATCAAAGATTGGCCAAGATCGGACCCCTATGATCTTCACATAATACTTATAGTATCTTCGGCATATACCTATTACATATACTATCAGATGTGCCTTACATGTCAAACCTGACCAATTATATGTAAGAATTTGTACATGTGTTTTTCAGTAGTTTGTTTGTTTGTTGTTTAACGTCCCTCTCGAGAATTCTGAGTTTTCGAGAACTCATATAGAGACGCCACCACTTGCCGGTGGAGGGCTGCAAATTTTGACCTATACTCGGCACTCAGGGCCATTGAGCAGTGAGGGATCATTATCGTGCCAACACCTACTACGACACGGGACCTCGTCTCATCCTGTTTCATCCGAAGGACCGGTCTTCACATCCCGCAGTGGATTCGAACCCGCGAAGCAAGAATCAACTCTACGCCGCGACTCTAGAGCAAACGCTAACCACTGCGCCACGCAGGCGACATTTTTCATTAGTAAGTTATTATCTACATTACCTGATTATTTTACGACTTATTTACATATAATATATACCCTTAAAATAAACAGAAAGGGAAAGGTCATTCTTTATAGTTTTATGTATTGTTTGATAGATAAATGTAACACTGTATTCTGTATAAGCTCAGTACAAAATCAGTATTTAGTGTGTTAAACACTATAAGTTTATTTTTATATAAACTATGAATACAGCATCACCTGAGGTTAGTACATCTATCGTGGACGTTTCTACCCACATAATGGCAGAAACATTAACCACGGTTACAGGAGGGAAAATTGAATCTCTTGTAAGCAATGCTGTTCCGGCCTATCTGGTGTTTGTCTTCGGAGTTGGTGGAAATATTATTGCCCTGGTGGTATTACTAGTGACTGCCAAAACTCATAACTGGCGGCCATTTTATAGGTACGTCTGTGGACTTGCGATCACGGATGGAGGTGGACTACTTATATCGGTTCCCGTATCTCTCTCTATGTACGCCTCAGAATTTAAGAGAGAATTACACAGCTAGGATAAGGCTGTCCAATAAATATCACAGTGTACCAGCCGTTCTTACTTCTCTGAACTTCCAAGATATGACGTCATAATAGAATATGACGTCAAATCACTGCAAACTTGAGCAGTCATGACGGGGAAAGTGTCATAACTTTTACATTCCTTCCCATGACATGTAGATATTATTTCGACGTTGATGTTTAAATTAGGTGTCTGAATTGCTGTTTAAAGTTTCTTTGTGCTGTTATGATGGTGATTATTTGCAATACAATAGCGTTATTCTTTTCTCTTACTGATAACGTACGTATTCAGACAATAACAAAAAATGAATATGAAACGCTCTCCCTTACACGTCCGTAGACAGAGTTAGAATGTATAAATCATGCATATATTAGACTGGCACAAGTGATTAATAAAGATAAACTGAAGATTTCCTGCGTGAATCTACTAGAGAAGTATGTCTTCTAACTGAATTTTGCTGGGGGATCGTATGTAATGTATCCTATTTTGTATAAATTGCGATGAAGAGTGGAAAATGCCCCCTTGTATGTGGGTAAGTTGAATTTGTCGTGAAATATTTTCTTAAGAAGTAAAACTCAGACTTGCCCCCAGCACTTTACATATACGCAAGAATGCGTTTAATTGATTTATGTAACAAACTATTCTCAATAATTTTGTTTTTCACTTGTGCCGATGGGATTTTTGTGCAGCAATTAGGAAATTTTATAAGTGTCCGTCACGTGATCAACACAGTCATGTGACATCACAAATATGCTTTTTCTCAATACTTTATTAAACTCTCTTCACAAATTTACTGCACATGTATACATAGATTACAAATCGAAATCAAAAGCTAGCTCAAAATATAATAGCGTATTTATAATGCATATTAAGTCTTCGGACAGCCTTAACATATAGCCGCGTATCTCCAACTCTATGTAACTTTCAGATGTTTTGGTATATGTTTACTCTGATGTCGTCCGCCATGATCGTGTGTGGCATGTCTTTTGATAGATTCTTCGCCACATATTACCCTTTTTACTACAACAAACCTCACAAAGAAATTCGTACGAACATAGTAGTATTAGTCATCTGGGGGTCGTAACATAAAGGGTACTTAAGTCTAAGACCATGCTTAAGTAGGACTTAAGTACAGTCTTAAACTTAAGACCGTAACTAGAAGCTTGCTAAGATTTGACAATCTTAGCAAAACTTAGGCGGCCGGTAGAGGTGACTTAGTATGTCTTAACTTTCTTAAACACATATTATATAAATAGTGCACGTTTTTGAGGGTAACAGTTGAAATTGACACCCCAAGGAAAACCATTGTCAACCGACGCATCAGCGGAGGTTGACAATGGTTTTCCGAGGGGTGTCAATTTCAACTGTTACCCCATCTTCGCTAGCCAAGGGTTTCTGATACGCTACTCTCCTCATAAACCCTTGGCATACGGTGCTGACAAAAGACAGGATTGTTTTTGTCACGTGATCATGATTCTTACCAGGTACGCACAGATTGCGTCATCGACAGAAATAAAAAGCGTATTTAAAAAAAATTTGTTTTTAAAGAATAATTAACAAGAAGGTATTGAGTTATGTTAATTTGTTATTTAAACATGTAAAAATGCAAATCTACATCTTCAGTCTAGATTCTTAATCACATATTTGCACGTTGCTTTAGAAA